TTCAAGCTTATTAACATTTCAGGAAGCTTTGAAGACCACAGCCTCTCAGATATAAAAAGTACTCAAGCAGCTTCTGTGAGAAAGAAATAATCTGATAGCTTACTAAATCTTCCTAATATAAGACTCTATATTTTCTCTTTAATTTTTTCCAGTCAGCTAAAGTAAATGTGTACATTTGATGTAAGTCTTCAAAATCTTTTCATCTTTTCCATTTCTGAGATGAAGTAGAAAAAGCAAAACAGACTACACACAATAAACTAATTTTAGTTATAAAAGGAAATAGTGACAAAATAATATACTCTGAGCTAGTAACCCATTGCAAGACTGTGTGATTTTTCTCTTTGTCCAGGAATGTGTGGACTTCAGTACCTCACGTGAAGAATTTACATGGAGCTTTACATGTTTCCCTAACAGAACCCACACTGAGCCTGCAAAAACTCATGTTTCTAAGGAAAAATAAGTGCAGCAAATACAGTATGAGGCCTATGACAATTCATGCAACACCTGAGAAGAAAAACGAAGGTGATGTTCCCTTGTACAATATAGGTCTCTGCTTCATCTCAAACTGCTGATGCCAGGGACAGAATCTGGCTTCCCTTGATACAAGGGGCCACGGAGACAAGACCAGGTATGTTTTCTATGTGACCGTTCAGTAAGAAAAAGCCAGGATTTTCAAGGTGCAGGAAACTTACAGGAGACTCCCTGCACATTGTCTGACTAAATATCCGAGGTAAGAGCAATCAGAACTAATCCTAATGCCTTCTCCCCAGCCCCAAGGGAGCTGTACAGAAAGGCCACCTTGGCGCTCCACAGAGAAGGAAAGAAAAAGAAAAAGAAAAAACAATACACACACACACACACACACACACATATATGCATGTATTATATTGCTGAGAAGACCAGTCTTAACACATATTTACACCTGAGGCAAACATAGATATTTGTCCAAGAAAAGTCAGACAATGAATGTAGTTTCAGTTTTCCCAGACTGGTAGCATTTACAGGTGCCTGGCAGAGAAGCAAATGAAAAGATTCCCTGGAGGATGATATATTTCCCCTAGTCCTCAAAAAACATGAAGAAACATTTTTTTCCCCTAAGAATAAGTGAGAAATGATAAGATACAGGAAAAATGTGACATAAATTAGAACAGTAGAAATTACAAACTTAACAAGACTCCAGTCATTGGAATAATCAGACACAAATTATAACCATCATACTTATTCTACAATATGGCTTACAAGTATCTACAGGCAACCAGAAACTATCAGTCTACATGGAAGATTGGAAGAAAAATAAATGAATTACTAAAAATGTAAGACAAAATTTTTAAAACTCAATGGATAAATTTGGTAACAAGGGAGAGAATTAGTCACATGGAAAACAAATCACATATCAGAATAAATTATTCAAAATATAATAGAAAGAGACAAAAAGATGGAAAATGGAGATGAGTAAAAGATATGAAATGCACAATAAGATTGCCTAATATACATTTAATCAAGAGTCCCAGGAGAGAAAAGAGAAAATGGGTTGTCAAGGTAATATCTGAAGAAACAATATCTGATAATTTTTCAAGAATGATGAAAGACACAGTCCACAGATTCAAAAGGTCCGAGAAATCCAGGCAGAATAATTTTTTTTAATTACATTCTGACACATCATAGGAAAACTGCAGAAAATGTATGACAATAAAAAAATTTTTAAAGCAACCAAATTGGGGGAAAAGAGATTAATCTTAAAGAAAAAGCATCAAAATTTCAGCTAACTTCTCAACAGCAATAGTGGAAGCTGTGAGTGGAATGATATCATCAATGTGCTGGGAGAAAAAAAGAATAAAAGTGGTAACGGACCAAAGATAATTCCATATTCAGTTTTCAATTTCTCTCAAGAATAAAAATAAAATAAAGATATATTCAGACTAACAAAAACTGAGTTTTTTCTCAACAACAAAATCTCACTAAGGAAAGTTTAAAAAGTTGTACATCTGGCAAAAGAAAAACAAGGTCTAAGAAGCAAGAAGGAATGAAAAGCAAGAAAAATGATAAACAGTAAATAAAATAAAGAGAAACAGTAACTACTTAAAACAATAAAGAAGTGTGGGGGGGTTTTAAAAAGCACAAAATAGAATTAAAATCCTAGATAAGGTTTGAGGAAAATAATTATAATTAATCATGAAATGTCTGGAGTATTCCTTTTAAATCAAAATTGAGAAAAGCATGTTTAGAATTAATAAGAGAATTTACCAATATTTCTGTATGTAAAAATCAACATATAAAAATCAATTGTATTTCTCTCTTCTGGCAACAGCTAGAAAAAAATATATATTTTAAATATATGCATAAACCTTATAATAGTATCAAAAGTACTAAATATATAGGAATAAATCTAACAAAAGATGGACAGCACTCATGAAAAAAATATTAAAATTTTATTGAGAAAATTTTACAAATAATTAAAAAAATGGAGAGATATACCTTGTTCATGGATTGGAATCTTGCCATGATAAAGATGCCAATTCTCCTGAATTCATCTATAGATTCAGAAAAATCCAATAAACAATCTCAGCAAGTTTTTGAAAAAAAAATACGACAAGTTGATTGTAAAAGTAATATGCAGTATGCCATTGAAGAAGAACAAATTTGGAAAATCTGTTATATTGACTATTAAATGTTATTACTCTAGTAACTGAGGCAGTGCAGTGTCAGTTTGGAAAGCGACAAATAGGCCAGTGAAACAGAAGAGAGATCCCAGAAACACCCGACTATATGTAGACACTTGATTTATGCAATAGTTGTACTAGAGAAATAGTGGAGAAGGATGTTCTTTTCGATACATGGTGTTGATCAATGTGTATGTATATAAGAAAGGGAAATTAGACCTGTACTTAACACCTTTAACAAAAATCATTTCCATATGTATTACATGAAAGACAAAGCAATAAGGTTTATAGAAAATAATATATAAGAATGTCTACATGATCTTGTGGTGGAGACAGATTTCTTAACCAAAATACAAAAATGACTAATAATAAAAGACTGAGAATTAATAAGTTCCGTTCACTAAATGGTATATATCCTATGATCCAACAATTCCATTCCTAGGTCTGTACCTTAGGATATCTGCTAGGATGCTTGTACAAGAATGTTCATGGAAACATTATTCATAATAACCATAAACAGGAAATAATTGACATGGCCAACAACAGTAGAATGAATGAATTATTTGCAGTATGTTAATGAAATGGACAAATGGAATGAACAAATAAGCAATAAAAATTATATAGTTACACTCAATATCTTGAATGAATCTTAAAAACATAATGACTATACTAATTTTCAAGACTTCCATATGGTGAAAGGCACCACAAAAACAAAGTTAAAAGACAAGCCACAGACTGGAAGAATTCATAATAAATATTTAAGAATATATATATCAATAAGAAAAAAAACCCACAAAAGTAAATTGGTCAAATATATAAACAGATAATTCATAGAAATAATTCTAATGACAACAAACATTAAAAAATGCTCAGTCTCACTAGTTATCAGGGATTTAAAAAAAATTAGTTATCAGGCGAGAACCACTTTTGACCTATTACAATGGAAAATATTGAGAAGTTTGACAATATCAAGTGTTGGTGAAGTTGGGGGAAGTGATACTTTCATATACTTGTGAAGAAAATGTAAACTGATTCTGATACTTTGGAGAGTAATAGTATCAAGTAAAATTTAAAAAGCAAGGAATAAAAAATTCCATTCCAGGGGCTGGCCCGGTGGTGCAAGCAGTTAGGTGACCACGCTCAGCTACAGCGGCCCAGGGTTCGCTGGTTCAGATCCCGGGCACACACTGAAGCACCGCTTGGCAAGCCATGCCGCGGCAGCGTCCCATGTAAAGTGGAGGAAGATGGGCACGGACGTTAGCCCAGGGCCAGTCTTCCTCAGCAAAAACGAGGAGGCCTGGCAGATGTTAGCACAGGGCGGATCTTTCTCACACAAACACAAAAAAAAATTCCACTCCAAAAAGATACTTACACAGGTCCACAAGGAGAAATATACAGTGATTTTCACTATAGCTTTGATTTTATTGGCAAAAATTTAGAAAATAAGGTAAGTAAAATAAGAAGAATTCATTATATTGGAACATTATGCAGATGCTAAAATGAAAGAAGAAAATACATAATTATCAATATGGATTGAATTCAAAACATAACATTGATTTTTTTAAAAAAATGAAGTCACAGATAAATGTGTTAGGTATAATTACGTTTATATTCACATGGAAAATACAATTTTATATTCACATATATTAAAGTAGAAAAATGAACTGAAATGATATTCACCACAATTATTATAGCCAAGAGGACATACGGTCAAAGAGCTTCAAGGTTATCTGTTGATCTGTTCTTTATTAAAGAAAAATATTTGAAACCAATGTAACAATATGTCAACATGTAAGCTTTATTATGTATTCTATTCTGCTCAAGTTCTTAAAAATTTCTTAAAATCACACACAATTTTTGAAATATCAACAAACTTTAAACCAGTAACTTCATTTTAGAAACTTTATCCCAAGGAAATAATTTGAAATGCAGGAAAATATTCTATTGTGGCTTAATTTGAAATGGCAAAGAACTCAGAAATAACTAAAATGCTTTACAACACAGGAGTTATTAAATGCTTTCTTTTATGTATTTCATAGATTATTATGACAGGTTCAAAGACATATGATTATAGCAAAAACCCTTATTTTAAACAAATATTGTAGAATTCAAAATTTTAAAAATATATGATGATTAAAAATAATGAAGCTATTTATTTAAAAAATAAACCTTGACATTTTTATCCTTAGTTATAGAATTATGGGTGATTTTTTTTATTGTTCACAATTTTCTGTACTTTCTAAATTCTACACTGCGTATGTATTCACTACTTTAATAATATAAGAATATTTTCAAACTTACTTTGATTTATTACTCATTTTCCTTAAATTTTGAAAATTAAACCTCAAGAGTTTTTCATCAGAGGAGGATATTAGTCCAAATTTGTTAGTCACAGGTGATTTATTAACAGGCATATTCACAGATCACAAACCTAGAGAGAAATATTAAATTTTATATTAGAATACAAATGCACTCACAGTACCAAATAATGCATTTCACACAAATTCATAATTTGTGGGGAAAAGGGCGGCAAGAAGGAAAATCAAGCTTGAGAACAAAATTACATTAAGGAAGAATTTAAATTTAAAATTAAACTGTCAGACCTAGGAGTCAAATCCAACTTTGAACCAAAAACCCATGTTCTTTCTATTATGTTAGTATTAGGGACTTATCTTTCCATATAATACTTAGCTTATTATGCTTTAGCAGTTTTCTCACCAAACCATTGAAAGAACAGTATGGCAGGGCCAGCCCTGGTGGCCTAATGGTTAAGTTTGATGCGGTCCACTTCGGCAGCCTGGGTTCAGTTCCCAGGCATGGACCTACATCACTCGTCTACCAGTGGCCATGCTTTGATGGCAGCTCACATACAAAACAGATGAAGACTGGCAACAGATGTATAGCATAGTGGTTATGAGGATACAACAGACTGTCAACACAAAATAATCAATAACCATTCTATAGATAAGAGAAATGAGGTGAGTTTACTTGAGCCAGAGTGAGGATTATAACCCAGGAAGGCCTTAGAAAGCATTCTAGAGAAGTGTGGTTTTCAGTACAGTTTTATATCTTTTTAGAACAAAAAACATACATTAAACATACCCAGGATACATTTTCATCAAAATTTCAAAGAGGTAGTCAGTTGCAGATTAGCAGGTCAACATGACCGTAATGTCAAGAAAGGAACTAATCTGGGCATTACCAATAGAGTGTTAGGGTGGGAAGTATGCATTCTTATCTTAAGAGGGTGCATTCTTTACTTTAATGGTTAAGTAGATGGACAATGTATGCTTGATAGGCCATAAGTCAGGCTTTTTAGTTCAAGCTGAATCAGTTTTGAACCCGAATAGTTACCCCATATACCTCAATATGTGAGAATCTCTTTTTAAGACTAACTGATTTACTTAACTGCTCTGTGCCTCAGTTTCCTCACCTGTACAATGGGTATAGTATCTCCTTATAGAGTTGCTGTAAGAAATAAATAGGTCAATGTACGTAAATTGCTTAGACTAGAGCCTGGCATACAGGAAGCTTATGATCATTATTAGATTACTATGCTTTCTGATTTTCAGGTTACTTGTAAATTTCTTTTTGTCTCCTGTCTTTTTTGCCATTCAGATTATGCTTTCTCCGCTTGCCCTCACATCTAAATTTATTTCCTTTTGAAGTATGTCTAAGCACATTTTGTGAGTGTATGACCGAAACTAAGACACACTATTTGTGTTTAGAGGGGTATTTAAACAGCAAAATGAAGTAATGAAACAGGTAGTCAGATTTATATTGAATTATTTTGCATTTCATTTTTAAGATAGTTAATTTTTAAAACTGATCATTATATCACTGAAGGTTCTGACAGGAAACAGATGGCACACTCAAATGGGGTAACTGAATAAAGAGACTCGTTCCAAAGATGTGGGCAGATTTATTCAAATAATAAAATAAAACCCAAGACAGTGCTGTTCTAAGCAGCTGGCAAGAAGAGGGTGAACCATTACCACTCTCAGGACTGAGGGGAAGAGGGACTCAGAAAGAACAACTGTAGGAGAAGGTGCTTACTAAACATCTTTGGCCTTTGGTCAAGAGATGCAACCAGTCTGAGGCTGCCTCCTAAGAGGCAGTCTGGAGAATAGGAACTTTGATCTCACTCTCCTCCTGCACTCCACTCCAAGCCTGGGCTTCCCATTAGCTAAACCAGACTGGAAGCCGGAAGGTGCAGGGCAGAGTGAAGAAGGATGGAACGCGGATCAGGAGGAGCAATGGGAAAATATCCAGCACAAAATGGATTATAAACACAAAACATCATTGTCTATTGCTGTTAGTAATAGCAAGGTCTGCTTCTAATCATCTATATCCATTAGAACATAAAGCAAATGTATTTTTAAGTCAGCAGCTGTACTGAGCTATATACAGGGATGTCATTCAGAGTGGGCTTAACTTTAATATAAAACACAAGTTATTCACAAGCAGGATTAATATATTCAAGAGTTTATTTTTTTTAATGGTTAACATCATATTAGATATTTCCACCTTAAAAGGCACTCAGGAAAATAACTCCAAACAATTAATAATGAATGCATGATAGAGTACACATAATCACAGAATGACAATAATAAAGAAGTAGGGATATTTGAAAGAATTAATTTGATAAATCTAGTAATAAATGTCACAAATTTGATAAGTATTTATTGAGTCATATAAAATTATGGAGATAACATGTTTAAATACACTAGGTAAAGAAATGTCTTCAAAAGAAGACAAAAGAAACCCATCATTCATAAAACATTACATATTTCAGAAATAGAGTTTAGAAACACAAATTTGAGTCAGACAGACTCTTAGATAAATTAATTTAAAACGTTTAATGCCAAATGAATAGAAAGGAAAAAGTACAGATCACCTGTGGAGAAAAATAATTGAAGGGAAACCAAATTAAAGGCAAACTAGTTTTTGTGCACATGCTTTGGGCATATTGATCTAGAGCTGTTTCCCGATTATTTCACATAATTGACTACAATTAGTCATATTTTTTGAGGTTCTATTCCAAGAAGTTAGAGACTAATTATTTTAGAAACTCTCTCTTGATCACTGGACCTACTGTCCAAAGACTCCTCACATCTGCTGGTAATAATGGTAGGTGTTTGCACCATCTGCTCAAAATGCAAGTTCCTCAATACCCTGGTGATAAGACTTCTCCAGATTGGATGGGTAGAAAATGTTGTAGGGGAGGAAGACAACTCCTCTACCCTCTAGGTCCTTCTGGCTGGTCTACAAATTAAATTGACATGAGATAGAATAACAGGAGAAAACCAAACAAAGCTTTATAACATGTATACATACATGGGAGAAACCCAGGAAAACTGAGCAACTCACCAGAATCGCTGAGGTCATCACCTTAAACACCACCTTCAGCTAAAGACAAAGGAGGATGTTGGGGGTAGGGGGAGTCAGTTATGACAGATTACCAGAAAAGCACAGTAAACAAGAGTAAGGTTGTTATGCAGATTTAAGTCCTTGCTTTTCTCACTGATAAGAGTTTCTAGGGATAAGGTCATCCCCCTATTCCTGGTGCAGAGGGGAGACATCTTTATAAACGGAGATTTCCCTTACAAACATAAATGTCTCTTACACAGAGTACCTTCTAATTTGTTTTCAGAGCTTTTCCCATGTCTGCAGTTTTTAAAAAAATAACCAGCCAAAAATAGTCCTCACGCCAAAGAGACACATATTGAGGTGGCAAATTCTGCTCCCTTACAACGTCAAATTGCTGTAAAACTTACTACTTGCTTACTCTCAATTTCTGGTTTATCTTGGGAGTACTTATCTTGGGAGTAACAGTGCTTAACCAACACTAGTTTGCGAACCATTATTTGAGCAGTATTGTGATATAAAAGAGACAATATGACTCCTTAAGGTATTTTATTAGTTAGGATTGCTTTTGACTAAGAATAAAAGAAACAATAACCAAATAATCTCAAGTTTCCAAAAAGAAAAGATGAACGTCTTCAGAAATGTTTCCCATATGGATGTTGGAAGTAAACCCTCAGTATGGTAAATAACAAAAAAATAAATACATAAGGTTTAAAATTACTCCCCCCTCCTAAAAATACTTCAAAATATAGAACCTAAAAGCATCAACTTTCACAAAATTTTTAGTCTTTTCATAAGAATATTCTCTTTCATTTCTCAATATAGTCCAAAACCTGAAGCTATCAACACGGAATTATTATTATTATTGCAAGTACAGTAGGGCCTTTTTGCATTGTATTACTATAACTAGAGTCACACACACTAATCATTAGTGGAGCTGAAACATTCATCTTCTAATACACTATTTGATAAAAAGTTTTTTTGAACTATTTATTGAAACTTTCTGGGGGAAATCATTTGTACCATTTTGTTCCTCCTCATGACAGCTCCATGCAGTGATGTTGACTTGCGAATTCTATAGAAAGGGACAGACAATGGCTTATCTCATGCTCTTTAGCAACCACAGACCACCTTAAAACAGGTATAGAAAGTTAAAATGAAGGCAGAAATTTTATTTTTCTGCTATCAAATACAAGACACATGTCTGTTACTCTGCTGGGAAAACATGATAATTAAATGTAAAGAGATTAAAATGGACTTGTTAAATTGGATTCATTCACATCATTGTCAAGAAATAGACATCATTTTTCCTGAATCAGCAAAAGGTGATATAAATGTAAAAATTAGCCTTTTTATAAATTAAATAGATCTTTAAGATTTAGATATCCTTTTATTCTCTATAGTACCCAAAACACAGGGTGCTGACTGAATTTGTGGACTGAAATGGAAACAAAATCTTAAGTGAATAAAAATGATCTTAAAGATTGGATTACTCTCCTTTTTAAATAAATCTTCCCTCAAATAGTGAAATGAAAGGTAAAAAAAATCATTATTTTTGAAAGCAACTATTTCTAAGACACACCTCTTTGCTTGATCTAATTTTCTTGGCTTATACAGCATACCACTATAGAGGATGGTCTGCTGTAACTCACATTTTCTCTACCACTTTCTTGGGATGGTTTTCAATAATTTAAATAGGTTCCAAATATTTACCTTGACAATTTATTTGAAGTGGGCAAAAAGATAGCTTGAGTTTACCTTTTACTTATATCAGGTATGATTTTTATATCTTTTTTTAAAGTTTTTTTTTTTTTTTTTGGTGAGAAAGACGAGCCCTGAGCTAACATCCAATGCCAATCCTCCTCTTTTTGCTGAGGAAGATTGGCCCTGGGCTGACATCTGTGCCCATCTTCCTCTACTTTATATGGGATGCCGCCACAGCATGGTTTGACGAGCGGCGCGTCAGTGCACGTCCGGGATCCAAACCTGCAAACCCTGGGCTGCAAAAGTGGAGTGCATGCACCTAACCGCTGTGCCACCAGGCCAGCCCTGATTTTTATATTA